TAGAAGGCGGCAGGCCGGACTCGGCAGGCAACGGTGGGGCATCATCTAATAACAAGAGGTGGAGCGGCGCGCCGAAAAAAAGTTGTAACGCAGCGAGCGGCGAGCTTTTTTGATAACTTTTTTCGGCGCGCCGCTCCACCTCTCGCTATTAGATGATGCCCTACCGTTGCCTGCCGTGTCCGGCCTGCCGCCTTCTACGCTCTCATTCGCTCAGACATTAAAATTAATTTCTCGATAACTACTGCGAATTTTGCAAAATAGTATAGGACTTTTCTATTCAGTTTGCCCCGGTCTATCTGCCATCTACGGGACATACGGGTATTAGGACACACCCTGTATAAATACAAACTAATTTTTTTTTCACATCTGAATGAATGTTACAGTTATCCATAAGTCTAGGCTCTATCACCAATGGACCATCCTTTGGTATTTTCAACATGGGAATGTTATTACCATGGATTAATGGCAAGGTATGTGTTACAGATAAACTTGTTTTATCTTTACTTGATGGAAATTATGTATCTGCGTGAAGTTAGTACCTCTCTGGTCATATAACTTTTATTCTCGGTTGTTCTAGTCGCGAATACGATAGTTTTAAATCAAGAAGAAATCCTGAAACAAGATTTTCATTCAAGAAAATAAAAATTATGTTAGCCGACCAAGAGCAAAGCGGCCTTATGGTGTTGTTCTGGTCGTATAACTTTTGTTCCCGGTTGTTCTAGTCGAGAACACAATAGTGTTAAAGCTGAAAGCCTAAAACAAGATTTTTACTCAAGAAAATCGAAAAATTTTGTTTGCTAACCCAAAGCAAAGCAGGCCTTATTGTTGTTCTGGTCTTAAAATGTTTGGTCTCAGTTCTACTTTGTTATAAATATGTTCTAAATCGACAATGTTGTAAGTTATTTTGTTTATGAATAAATGGCTAAAAACTTTTTCCACAATTTTTATTTTTACAACATTTTTAAAAGTTTTTAACCGATCAAACTAATACTGTGGAACAATATTTAGAACTACTAGAACATCCTGGAGCAACCTTTAAAAATTCGATTTTCTAAAAATAGAGTGACAAATAAAAAAATTGATTTTTAGTTTTCGGTAAAATTCTTATTATATAAATTTGATCTTCTGAAACAATTTAGAACGAGTCTAGAACAATCTGAAACCTGAAGCAAGGTTGTAACTTAAAAATTGAAAAATAGTGTGCTAACTTCACGCAGGTAAATTATATTTAAATTCGCAAGTGAGGATAAATATATATTTTAATTAAATTCAACAGGGTGCTCTAATCGGAGGAATTGCAGGTTTGAGTTTCATGGGTTGGCTTGGTCTATCTGCTGAAGCAGCTATCACTAATGGACAAATGAAGTTAGTGTTATAAAATTATTACCTGTATGTGCAATACAGTCGATATTGTATAATTTTTTATATTATTATATGTAAAGTACAATTACAAATGACACCTATACTTTTACAGATTTGATATGAAACCTGTTACCACGGAGGGATGCACCTATTCATTCCCACAAGTAGAGAATTTACTGTTATCTGCACCACCAGATTCAATTTTGGACAACACTGGAGAGTAAGTTAAATAATCTTAACTTTTAATTAGAATAAATGCTAATAACTATTAATTATTAACAATAATCAAGCTTTTTAGTCGACATTAACCGGCCAGTGTTTTAATGCAGAAAATTTATTGCAAAAAATATTACCTCAAGCAGGGTTTGAACCTGAACTTTTCTACTTCCTAGGTGGGCGTCTTATCAATTCGACCACTTAGGCATATGGTAATATTTGTTGCAATAAATAGCTTAAAAATGATATCTTCGCGTCTATTTTTCGACTTAAAACTAAGCGCCGATTTGGGTTGTTAGCTGTATACAGAACTGTCGATACGCAATTTTCAAGTATCCCTATCCCCTTCCCCACTTCCCCCAACATGGACGCAATTGCAGAGTTCAAATTTTCTAGAGATGATATGAATGATACGGAAAAACTTTCCTTTGGGAGAGACATCGTCTTTTAGTCGTAGGTGTAAATTCAAACATAGAACTCTCTTTAAGTTTTCAGTAATAAATAACAATTATTAAGCTTATATTTAGTATTCCTGGATTTTGTTCCAGTTTTCGGTTTGGACTTTGAACAGGAAATGTTGTCCTGCCGCTAAAGACGTTGTGACTTTCTTGAGCTCTTTTACTATGCTTTCTACCGGTAACAGTCTTATCAAAATAATTCCATGTTTAGCGTGAGTTAAGTAGTCTGTCACGTCGTCGATGTCCTTCGCTAGTGCATTTATTATTTCAGTCACTGTCACGAGGTGTTCGACTATGTCTTCGCGGTTCGTTAGCCGCGAAACCTGACCTGACCCTGAGTCTTCCGCGTAGCGTTCACGATAATGATGTCGTTGTGGCTCAAGGTGCTTTCCAGGGCTTCGATGTGCCCGATGGATTTATCCAGTATCTTCAGGTGGTTCTTTATCACGTGCTGCATTGTCTTTCGCTGTTCACTCATTAATTGTATCCGTTCGTTTATTCTCCGCTCATCTTCGGCATCCATTGTGCCGAACAGCATTTTGCTTATGCCGATTACATTGATTAGACCTCTTTTATTTTCTTTCGTTTTATACAACATTTAAAGGCGTGTGAGGAAAGTCACAATTTACACATCCCTCTTTTCGATTATTTGTAGCACGTTGTCGCATGTTTTCGCTGCGTCCGCGGCTGCTCTGTGGCATAGGGTACGTGTGTCTTCGTAGAAGTCCTGTAGCTGCTGGTGCCTGCTTTCCAGTACCGTTACTTAAACGTCTGTCAGTTTCCAACCGGCTTCGGTTTCTTGGAGTGTCCCAAATCTCTCGAAATATATTCCAGGTATTGAATTTTTTCACGTCAGCGTGCGCAATCATGGTTCCTTCTCCCTGGGCCTGAATTATTGCGGCGGCCACTATCAGGAGCCTGCAAGCTCATGGTTCATATTACTATTCTTTTAATATCATCACCTGCTTATTATATTAACTGCTCGTCCGCGAGTTAGTCTTGGCGTGACTGTGCATCATGTGAAAGCCAAGCAGAAAATTTTGTTTTCTTTGTTTGAGCTTTCTTGTGCTTGCGCCACAATACATCTATTTATACGCTTTGTCTCTTTACAGATGCTGGCTCTGACAGGTGCCACCGGTGGTAGTGGGAGGCGAGCCATTCCCTCCGCTCCGGAGTGCCGGCCTTTGATGCTTCCCCCCTTTCTATCATTCATTTGCACATAATTCTTCGTGTAACTAGATTTTGTATTTACCATTTTACCAGTAATTGTACTTATCCTTTTATACATTTACATTTGCGTTTTTGTTTGCTTTTACTGTTACGTTCCTTTCTCTTTTTACCGTAATTTTAAGTAGTTCATAAGTATATGTATAACTCTATCGTTTTCTTTCGCGTTGCCCTTGTTACTTTTCCACAAAAGGTTTCAGGCGGTTGACATGTACTCGTAGGCTCCTTCGTCTCATTTTTATCATATAATTTACTTCCGAGTGCTTTTCCGTAATCACGTATGGGCCTATCCATAGGGAATCTAGTTTTCTTGAGCGTCCTCTCCTTACGGTTTCGTCGTGTAGGAGGACCTTTTTCCCTATTTTAAACGCTACACCTTTAATTTGTTTGTCGTATTGGGTTTTCGCCTTCTCTTTTTTGACTTGTAGACGTTCCTTCGCTGTTTGTTGCATAGTTCGCAATCTCTCGTGTAATTCTTGCGCCTAGTCGTCGTACAAGTACATCTGTCGTCGTAGTGTCGCACAGTGCCCATACACTAATTCGCGTGGCGTATATCCTGTCGCGCTGTGTGACGTTGTATTATAAGACAACATTGCGTAAGGGATCCATTCGTCCTAATCATTTTGGTCTTCTTCTAGTGTCGCAAGTACTCCGCTACCGTACGATGCGATCTCTCCAGAGCTCCATTGCTTTCTGGATGGTAGGATGTCGTTTGTATCTTCTCTATCTTCAGCAGTTTACACGTACTTTTAAATACGTCGCTTAAGAAATTCGTGCCTTGGTCGGTCAGTGCCTTCTCGGGTATGCCGTGTTCCAGAATTATCTTACAATTAGTTACAAACATTTTCGCGACCGTGACCACTTCTTGATTTGGTATCGGAATTGCTTGACCGAACTTTGGTAAATTGTCTTGGAAAGTTAGTAAGTATACGTTTTCCTGCGTTGTCCTTGTCAACGGTCCTACTATGTCTAAGGCACATTTCTCGAAGGGTCTTTCCGCTGTGACAGTAATAATTAGCGGCGCTTTCTTCCTTCTAGTCAGCTTGTTCTTTTGGCATCGTTCGCATTTCCTTGTGCATTTTCCGTCTTTGGTCAGTCCTTTCCAGTTATGGAACAATCTGATCCTTTTTATTGTGCGTTCCACCCCCAGTGTCCACCGACAGGAAAGGCTCACTTGGACACAGTACAAGTGGACACTGTACAAATGGACACGGAATATTGCACACGGTTCATTTGGACACAGGAATTTTCGACACATAAATGTTGCACACCATAAAGTTGAACACTGTGCAAATGGACACCGTTCTTATGAAAAGTTGCAGATTATAATGTTGGACACGACGCAAGTGGACACCGCTCATTTGTACACCGTAAAAGTTGCACGCCGAAAAGTTGGACACAACTCAAGTGGATTGATTTAAAAAATGGTAACTTTACAGAATCGTGTATTTTAAAGCAGAGAATATATTTATTTATGAGAAAATATATGTATTTTAAAGCAGAGACTGTATTCCTTTTTTACCGTGTGCAAATGAGCTGTGTCTACTTGCCCTGTGTCCAAACATTATAGTCTGCAACTTTTCAAAAGAACGGTGTCCGTTTGCACCGTGTGGAACTTTATGTTGTGCAACTTTTATGTGTCCAAAATTCCTGTGTCCAAATGAACCGTGTGCAATATTCCGTGTCTATTTGCACCGTATCCATTTACACAGTGTCCATTTGTACTGTGTCCAAGTGAGCCTCTCTCGGGAGGGAAGGGAACGGGGATATTTAAAAATCGCGTTATGATAGTGCTGTGTATGTACAACCGACAATCCGTATCGGTGCACAGTTCACAAAAGTAAAAAATATACGCGTAGACAACATCTATCCTGTTATTACGACAAATATTATCATATTCCTCGGTGGTCGAATTGGTGAGACGCCCGCCTAGATTGTAGGAAGGTCCAGGTTCTAACCCTGGCTGAGGTAATATTTTTTGCAATAAATTTTCTGTGTTAAAAACATATCGCCAGTCATGGTCGATTAGAAACTTAATCATTGTATTTTTTTATTGTATTTTACGACTGTGAAGATAAAAATGTTTAAAAAACGATTGAAAACGTATTGCAGTATAAACTTCAAGCTTTAAAGCTTGATTTAAATATTTCATTTGCAGTGATTTTTTCATTGACTTTCAGCGTCATTGTAGCATTTAAAAATGTTCCCAATTTTTTGTTGTATAATATAATAGTTATTATATTTAATAGAGAACCATGGGCATTATATCGTATCAGTTACCTTTGGTATACCATGACTGGAGCCATAGTGACTATGAGTGTTAGTCTCATCGTAACTCTGATTACCTCCGAAGATGTTGAAAAATTAGACCCGATGCTTGTAGCACCATTTGTAAGAAAATATTTAAAGAATTCGAGGAAAGATGTTGCTTCCAAGGAACTTCATCAAATCAAGGTTTTATTATCTTTTAATTTAACCCTTTTTAATTTTTTAGTTAAATTTTGCTTAACTAATATCGTGTTTTGTTATAAAATTATAATATGTTGTGTGCTTAATATATTATTACATTATTTAATAATACAGAGTGTTCCATGTTTAATTATACAACAAAATAGGTTGGAAAAATTAAGTTATACAATAAAATGTTTACTACAAAGGTTTTACTTTAAAGGTTTTACTACAAATTTTTTAATTTGAAAGTTATTACGAGATATTAGGCGCGTGAACAAAAGGAATATAAAATACATCGACAACAGAAATATAAAATATATAGGATGTTACGGATAAGGTGTCCATCTGCTCGTATACAGACAGAACGGATTGAATTGAAACGAGAAGTCATGGACCATTTTATGAAATTAAAACATCTGAGCGAATAAGCGTGAGAAGAGCGGTAACCGAATTCGGTAGATATGTAAAATAGCTTATTTGTGAGATCTCTTAGTATCGGTGAGCATCATATGATAGCGAGAGGTGGAGCGATGCGTGGCATATAGTACCGCACCAAAAAATTGTCAGGCAGCAAGCGATTGTTTAGGCATCTTATCATCTAAGGCTCACTGCTTGACAGAAGGTGCTTGCCATTTACCGACACAAGTTGACACAAGTATCATTTTAGCCTTGTTCACTGAACATTTGAAAAAAACAGATTAATGCTTGTGTAGACTTGTGTCGCTAAAGAACCAAATTTTTTCGTGGCACGGTGTGTTATCACATGTTATGTATCACCTCTTGCTTTACGTGCCTACCGAGTCAGCCCTATTGCTTTCCACGTGTTTATTCGTTAGACATTTTAATTAATTACTCAATAACTATTGCAAATTTTCTAAAATGATATATAACTTTTCTTTTCAGTTTAATCCACTCTACCTGTATACAAGGGTCACTTCTTGAAATCATAAAACTAGGAAATATTTTATTATACTTCATTTTATTGACTTTACTTTTCCGGTTTTTATTTTGTTGTATAATTTAATATACGATGTATAATTTAATATACTCCGTATATATATTATTTATATTAGTGTATATTATATTTATAGTAATATAAGTATATTATTTAGTTTTTGTTAATATTGAATTTGATGTTATTTGTAATTATATATATAATTTGATTTATTGTTTACATTAGGTTGCAAATTTGAATGAAAAAGTGGCGTCTTGTACTATCAATGAGGATGATAAATTATTATCAGGAGGAACTTCGACATGATGTAATAAATAAATAATTATTATTATAAATTTTAGTGCTCGGAATTTGTTAAAAATAGAACATGATTTTGTAGTTCAATAACACTGATTTATATATTAAAGTCAAAGTCGTACTGACAATGAATTATTAAGAGAACCTGTATACAAACTTTGTATGCAATACTGTACATTTTATTTGGGTAATTGTAGCAATCCTATTATTGTTAATAACATATTTACGTAAGTATATATTATAATATAAAATATGTATTATTATAAAATATATATACATATATATTATAACTTTGGCTTTATGCTATATTATTATACAGGGTTTGTCAAAAGTGTGGAAACCCCTAAATAATTTTTGTAAAAATGAAAATATCAAAAAACGATAAAACACGTATTTTGATTTTTCAAAAAAACTATCTTTTGACATGGATACCGATCATCTCCCCTCCCCAGGTACGTGGCGGTAAAAGGGGGGTTGAAAATTTTAAATGGGACCTCCTATTTTTTATTGCGTATTCTTATAGCTTACCTCGAGAACTTTCCAAAACGGTATAATAAAGTATTTTTTATTAAGAACTTTTTGAGTTATTAAGGTTTGAAAGTTCCAATATTTTGACATAAATTACAAAATATCTTGTACAAAATATCTCAAGGTAAGCTATAAGAATATACAATAAAAAGTAGGCCCAGGTAGAACAGAAAAGTCATACTGATA